TTAAAAAACATGTTTGTCTCTATTTTATGATCCTCTATTTAAATAAATAAATATTAAAAAAAATATTATTTTGTAGTAATGTTGTGGCAAAGTACCTCCAACGTCAAAGTTGCACCTGATTTTCCCACTACACTGAAGTTATTTATTATTTATTCATTTTAATTTATTTTCTCATATGTGTTGTTGGTGTTGCACTGTTCAATGTTTATGTGAATATACAGTATATATATATATATATATATATTTATATATATATGTATGTATGTGTGTGTGTGTGTGTGTGTGTGTGTGTGTGTGTTTTCAGATGGAGGTCCCTGGTAAATGTGAAGTAAAGCGGTATATCGCCTGTCAAGGGCCTCTTCCTGGTACCTGCTCTGACTTCTGGCAGATGGTGTGGGAACAGAGCGCCGCCCTAGTGGTCATGCTCACGACACAAGTTGAACGTGGCAGGGTATGAATTTTAACAATTTCATTAAATAAAAAATATTCGCATTCATAAATGTGATAAAAATGAATATTTGTTTAACTGAGTTATTACTTTCATAATATTTTAAGAAATTCTGTAAGAAACTACAGATTGTAAAAATATTTTTATATATATATTTTTATACATTTCAAGTAATCAACATAAGCAATTGGTGATTTAATTGTCATTTAATAAATTACAAATTTTAATAATTCAGTAAATTACAAATTATGTGTGCACACACACACGCATATATATGTAAAATTGCATTTATTCAATCACTGTAGATCCATTTTAATTATTAAACTAATGAAAATGAATAAAAAATAAGATAATAGAATAAAATAATTTAAAATTTTATTTTTTAAAAATCCTTTGTTTTTATAATTTGCATTTTTTTATTTTCATAAACTATAAGTAGTCAACATCAACAATTGGTAATTTAATACATTTAATAAATTGCAAAATGTCATGAATGAATTTAATAAGTTACAAATAAATTACTTTCCTGGTCATTTGTGTCAGGCTCATTGCTATGCGTTATTCTTAATAAAAAAACTTTTTTTTATTATTATTAAATATCTTTAATAATCTTATCTTATCTAATTGTATTGTTTGTTTCTATAATCAAAATGTCAAAATTTCTAAACAGCTTTTCTGCTGATTTAACCAAGGCCTTGAGGGCGGGCCTAAATATTAACCAATTAATTTTTGGCTTAGTGTGTTCCAAAGTCAAAAAATTCAATCAAATCCTGACAGATATATCAAGTCCTGCCCTACATTACTTGTCTTTTAATGTTTATTTTAAATGTAAATGTCACTTTACGGAAGTTAAATTATATGAAAATGCCATTTTGTGACTTTTTTTGCTTTGATTTTGTCCTCCATATGGTTGTGTTCTGATATATAGCAATGATTTTGCCATATATGGTATATCTTGACATTTTCTGTTTTAGGTGAAATGTCATCAATACTGGCCAAACGTTTCGGCAAGTGGCACCTACGGAGGCTTTCAGGTTACATGTGTGTCAGAGGAAGGGAACTCGGCGTACCTGCTCAGAGATTTGATGCTTTCACACCTGGAGGTGACATATCTCTTTACGTGTTCCATATTCTTAGTATAAATACATTTCTGTGCTAATATCTGTTTGGATATTTGTACAGAGTAAAGAAGAAAGGCAGATTTGTCAGATGCAGTACTTGGCATGGCCTGACCACGGCGTCCCAGATGACTCGTCGGACTTCCTGAACTTTGTCAGTCAAGTACGCAGCAAAAGAACCGACGCATCTCAACCTGTGGTGGTTCATTGCAGGTCAGGCCTGGAAAATGTTGCAACAGTATCATCGATCGACATCCCACAGGCTCAAAAACACCATAATGGTGAACAAAATGTTTATTGACGCCACCCCTTTTTCTTTCAGCGCTGGGATTGGTCGCACCGGGGTGCTTATCACTATGGAGACAGCGATGTGTTTGATAGAAAATGGTCAGTCGGTGTATCCCTTAGACATCGTCAGAACCATGAGAGACCAGCGTGCCATGATGATCCAGACTCCTGTGAGTAGTCTAGTCCACATTGCAGCTCTTTCTGGCCAAGAACCGCCCACTTAGACAGGAAGGGACTGTTTGATTGACAAGTAAAGTTGCGTTTAGTATGTATGTAGATGCGCATTTATCACAGAAGCTTTTTCCAAAAACAATTTAGAGCGGTGAATTAATACAAACAGACGCTCTAAAAATTGCGGCAAACCAGTTAATTGAATTGCATTGAATGAGCCGCTAATGTTATGTTTAGTACGTAGTAAATACAGATGCACGTTTATGGAAAATGCTTTTTCCCCAAAACTATTTATAGTTCTACCATGAGCTACAGTTACAATTTAGTTGACTTGTCATTAAGTATATCAAATTATATTTCAATTTGACAAAGAAATGTGCAGCATTTTGTCCAAGCAATAATAAAAGGACACATTTATAATTGCTTAAATCTCATTTTGTTTAAAAAAAATCATGAATCAAATCGAATCGTGAGTTGAGTGAATCGTTACATCCCTACAAACTACGTTCATAAATATAAAAAATTCGACGTCACGAACTTCGCAACTTTGGTTAATCCAACAATGAATTCTTTCCTGGTGGACTGATACAAAAAAGGGTCTCAAAAATTGCGTCAGACCAGCTAATCTCATTATGTTTATGCATAAATACAGTTTTGTTTATTCATAGTGCAGCTAAATCGCTTATTGTCTATTTTATTTGTTTCCAGAGCCAGTACCGTTTTGTATGCGAAGCGATTCTGAAAGTTTATGATGAGGAGCTTGTAAAGCCATTTGAGACTGAGCCTCCGGTCGAAAAGGAAGAATGAACACCGCCCTTCAGCATTTCTGAGGTTCTTCTGTGATTTACAACTACTGCCAGTGAGATCTGCGCTCAGCTTGCTGTCGCCCCCTGCTGGAAGGCAGTGGACATGCTCGCCCGCAAGCTAGAATACAGACGAAAAAGCACTATTGCACTTTACAGCGACAAACAATGACTTAAGGGGATTTTTCATTTTTAAAAAAACAGTATCATGTTACTGCTGAGTAGGTACGGTTAATAATGTTAATCATTTGGGTTAGAGAAAGAAATTTGCTTTTGTGCCAAAAGCTGAAATGAGCCACAGTCCATGTCAGAATTAACTCTTGCAACTAATGACAGCACGTTTTATGTTTTATTTATTTGTTTTGGGGGATTTTTAACAGTGGACTTGAACAGCAGGTGCAACAGGTGCTCGGCCCATTCTCTTCCCTTTTCCTGACTGTGACTGTAATTGTTTCAACGTTTAAGTTTAAAACATAAGTTAAAATCGTTAACTTTTTTTAAATTGTCAAACAAAATCAAAGCTTTTAACGATACACATTTCATTAGTTTTTACCCTGGCGCTTTAAATATAGTCTTTCGTAAAGTACTTTCTTTACTTGATAAAGTTTCCATGGTAACATTAAAGTTCTCTATAAATTTAGCGAAATTGACAGGCCACCAGCTGCATTAAATATGAGCCATGGTGAAGATGTTTCTTGCTGCCAAATTTCACAGCCGTTTGCCTCTAAAACCGGTTGGTACGTCGCTTTGGCTAATCGCTATTTATTGCAAGGCTACGTGTAGTACGTAAAACGGCTGGCATTTTGTATCGTTAAATATGCATCAGGCAGCTGATCCTCTTTCAGATCCATGTTTGCCGGATCTTTGAAGCATATTATTTAGAAAATAAAGCTGTGAAAATAAAGCTGAAGTATGGACGCAAATTAAATGTTTAATGTACGATTTAGTCTAGCATTCTCTCTGGTTAGCGTAAAGATCATCACATATTCGCAATTAGCCTACCAATTTTCTTCCATGTTTACGATCAAATTTTCAAAACTTCTACTGTAAGAAATCGCTTGCCTTCAGATTTTAGTTGTTCATCCTGTACAAATAATTTTGTGTTTTTGGTTGAGAAGAAATATCTGCTCCACTCTCTGAAGATACCGGTTTTAATTCTGCTTATCATTGGTTATGCTTATCCATATCTCATCCTCTCTAACTAGTTACCTGTTAGCTATTACCTGCAATATACTCGAAAGGTGGACATAGTCCATTTAGTACTTGCTATGACTGTAGAGATGATGACATTTACTGAACTCATTGGCCGCTTTAACGTTTTATTCACCACAAGTGCAAAATTTAACAATAAATGGATTTAATGCATTTTTTAGTTTTAAGTTCTCATTTTCTGCATTCTGAAGAGAAAGGATACGTATGAATTATGGAGCATAATTTTTTTATGTGACACTCTGGACCATCTTAATTGTTTGCGAATGTTTTTACAAACATTTCCCTCCGTATGCCGTTTTGCGGTGCCATTGTGCAAACGATTTGGCGTCAAGGACCAATCCCGCCCACCGTTTTGAATGTGAGCCGATATTGCTTCAGTGTACGTTGTTTAGCGCAGCAGCTAGAAATTTACTACCGACGTTGCATCGGAAGTGGTGGTATTTTTGTATTTAACGAAAAAAAGGACAGCACTTTGCAACTGACTGTGGTAGTCAGCTGTGCTACTGTAGAATTTATACTGTAATTGTGTAATGGGGAAAAATATGCTGTTTATTTATGTTGAACATTTTGTCAAATACGGACACCTGTGGGGGGGGGGCTCTTAACTACATAGTGTCATATGTGAAATACTTGTAAATACAACGTTATATATTAAAAGTGTTCTGAAAAGATAATGGTGGTTATTTTTGTTTAAGTAGTTTTTAAAACGTCAGAAAAATACAAAGGAAATTGTATGTGATGTTTGTATATCTCCCAGTTGTGTTTGTTTGTCTGTGAGAGAGCGAGTATGTCTTTTGTACAGACTGTTTTGTTTCTTACTGGCGTACATTTGAAAATTTCGTCTTTTGGCGCTTGTGACACACGACAAATCAAATATAATACAGCTCAAACTCCTATTTTCAGTGTTGTTTTTGATAAATATCAACCTACTACTCATACAGGAATGAAAGAACAAACGCATTTAATTTCTCAGCTTGTCTTTTTTTATTTTTCTTGGCATTTTACATGAGATGTTGAACAGGGATAATTTAATCAGCTGTATTGAGGCTGAAAATTCATGCCGGCTTTACCGAGCTCATTGCTGTCATTGACTCATTTTTACTTCTTCATGACCTCGACATCAACATCCTCTGTGCGAGAAACGACCTTTCCATCAACCACTTCTTCGATTACTGTGCGAACACGCTTGGTCACCACAGGTTCGGCTGGAGAGATAGAATAAAGAAAACTAAGTTAAAAGCTACACATTTACATCTAATTGTCAACGTTTTAATTGTATTTAAATTTAAATCATTTAAATTGATTCATGTCGTATTTTATTTTAGTATAAAACATTTTAATATGTATAATACATTTTTTTTTTTTTTTTTTATAAAAATACTTACGCTTAGGGGGAGGAGGAGCTACAACCTCTACAAATTTGATTGTCTGTCTCCTGTAAAAAGAAAAAAAGAAATTTTGAAATATCGTACAACTCCTGTGATCTTTGAAAAGACAATTTGATGTTCATTTGTTTTGTTTATTTGTAACAAACTTACTGAATGTCCTCTCCATCCAGAAGTCTCCTGTACTCTGCGATCTCCATCTCTAGTCTGGTCTTGATGTCCAGGAGCAGTTTGTATTCGCAGCCCTGTCTTTCGATGTCCATGCGCATCTGAGAAAGCTCCACCTCCAGACTGTTAATGACGGCCTGCAATTGGTTGAGCTGGAGGCTGTACCGTGACTCCGTCTCTCTCAGTGTGCCTTCCAGTGCCGCTTTCTGTCAAATCATAAAGCATAGAAGAAAGGTGAGGGTGTGGGGCTATGCATAATAAATTGCCTAAGTGGCTGCCTCTAGAAGCAGCTATTGCAAAATATATTTTTTAACATTATTGATCAAAGCTAGTAGAAACTTGAGCATAGAATAATAATTAGGGGTGTGGCTATGCATGTTGGATCAAATAAAGCTCCCCTTAGTGGTTGTGGAAATGTTGTTAACATTAAATTAAAGCTAGAATTAATTTTAACGAGAAAGAAAGACTTTTACCATGCTGAGCTGCGACTGTAGTTCAATCTCCAGGCTCTGAAGGGTCCTCCTGAGCTCGTTGATTTCACTGCGGGACAATGTAATGTCTTCTTGTCTGGTGGATACCTGCTTGCTCAGTTCGTCGAACTGTAGGGAAAGAGGTTTGAGGTCATTTTCTAGCTGATTGTGTATGTTTTAGCCATTGCAAATAAGAACGAGCACTTACTTTGCCCTTGTACCAGGACTCCATTTCTCTGCGGTTCTTCTCAATGACGCCTTCATATTGGGATCGGATCTCCTCCATGATGCGGGCCATGTCTTGCTGAGGTGCAGCGTCAACCTCTACGTTTACACTGCTGGAGGACATTTGAGCGCGAAGAGCTGCGAGTTCCTACAGAAAAATGATATAGCCGTTAGCTTATGCACCTTTTCGAACATTGCGTATTCTTTTGAAGAATGGGTTGTTTTGAAAAGTGGGAATTGCTATTGTAGGAGATGGACATGCTTGAACTTCGACTCTTATGGTACAGTCAACATGAGCGAAATTTCACAGAATAGTTACAAATTGCTCCCTCTAGATGCAGCTAGCAGGAAATATATTTTTTAGCATAATCATAACTAATAGGAATTTGAGCTGAGAGAAACAATTAGGGGTGTAGCTATGTAGTTTTTATCAAATAAAGCTCCCCCTAGTGGTAGAGGAAATTATTTTTATTTTTATTTTGCTTTCACACAAAATTCCCTTTTGCACAGTTGGAGTGGGAAATGTGACTGCACCTTTCAGTTTTGAATGCCAGTGCTCCAGGTAACATTTAATTACAGGACTAGCATTTCTAATAGTGCCTAATGTTTAAAATTGCACTTGAATGGAGAAGATTATTGGTCTGGTCTGGTGGATTATTGGGTAAAGATCTTGCCTCGCTGCACCAGGTTTGCCCTGCCTGGAGGGCCATAAAATATTTTTTTATCTCACCTCTGCATGGTTCTTCTTCAGGTAGACTAGCTCCTCCTTCAGACCCTCAATCTGCATCTCGAGGTCTGAGCGAGTCATAGTGAGGTTGTCCAGAACCTTCCTTAGACCGGCGATGTCGGCCTCCACGGACTGACGCATGGCTAACTCATTCTCGTACCTGAAGCCGCCAAGAACAACAATGTTAGGCTGGGAATCTAGACAAACCCAAGTGTTAAAATGTTGGGTGTGACATTAACAAGCTCATAAAATTAGGGGAAACCCTTGCTGGGAATGAAAGATTGGTTTAGCCTACTGGTCTAGACTGGTTTAAGCGTTTGTTTTTTTTTATACTTGAATGAAGTATGATATTAAAGTCAATACAAACTTCATGAAAAGATGTTTTAAATGAGGGAATAAGAAGGTAAAGGTTTTTGTTTGTTGTACTAACTTGACTCTGAAGTCCTCGGCTGCCAGTTTGGCATTGTCGATCTGAAGGATGATTCTGGCATTGTCCTGGCTGGCGACGATGATCTGAAGGCAAACAGATGATGAATTGAGACTCCCTTACAGCTTATGAAATTAAACCAAAC